TTGTTCATGTAAAGCATTTAAAGGAAAACACCACAGCAACACAATGTGTATATGTGTGTATGTGTGCGTTGAGTTCAAACAGTTTTGTCTCATAAATATGTAAATTCAGCCCGCCTCTGTTAGTATCCCTGAAGCATACCTGGTTATTGCTGGCTGTCTCATTAAATCAACATAAAGAGCTCAGTGAGCTACAATGTGCGCCTTTCTCCTGGCTGCAGCTTCAAGAACTGGAAGGCCTGCGGGCCTGAGTGTGACATGAAGAAGCTGAGGGCCAGCAAAACCACCATCCAGAGCATCACAGGGATGTTTTATACACACAGAACCATGTCTTCTTATTTCAGGAACAGAATCATCTAAGCAGAAGGAGAGATTTAACAGGGGGCAAAATGGAGTGACTGTCAGGCCACATTGTCCGTGTAGATGATTCACAATGAGTTCCGTAGAGGTGTGTACATGACTGCCTCACAAATCCATGTGTACTTGGTTTCAGGGTGTACATTTGTAACACCGTCGTCACTCTATAGGCTGAGGCAGGAGAATCCTTAGTTCAAAGCCATCCTGGGCTCAATATCAAAACCGTATCAAAAAATGAACAAATTAACAACAGCAACAAAAACCCACAGCTCTCCAGCTCCTAAGAATACCACATTGCACTCCGCTCAGGATTGCACTTCTCTGACAAGGTCAAAATATCTGATTTTAAGGTTCTTTGTAAAGTTCTTTGTACTTGGGAGTTTTTTTTTCTTTGACTCTAAAGCCAGCTATACATTTATAAATATGTAAATACATAGTGATTAGTTTGTGATGGGGCCTTTTCATTTAATAATTACCTTGTTTCAGAATTGATCTAATTGCTTAATATTTTGTCAAACACTAGGCAATGTTAGTTGCACATTACTGGTTCTTGTAAATCAGTAAGCTAAAAGACAAAACCTAAAAACACTTGTATTTAAATTAAGGAGCCTAAAGCAAGCCGTTTAAAATGGTACCTCTCACTACATGATCATTTTAAGTAGATGCACATTGATTTTGCAAATTCTCCTCTCTGCATTGTGTGTGTATGTGTCTGCTGAGTCTGTACTGTGCTTGTTGTATATCTGTGTTGTACATGTATATGATGCCTATGTGTGTGTGGTGTGTGTTGTTTGTGGTGTGTGTGTGTGTGTGTGTGTGTGTTTGTGTGTGTGTGTGGTATGTGTATATAATGTGTATGTTAAATATGTACAGGTTGGTGTGTGTGTCTGTGTGTGTGTGTGTGTGGTGTGCACATGCGTGTGGAAGAGCATATACTTGTGCACATACATGGTAACATCAAAGCAGAATGTCAGGTGTCTTCCTCGATACCTTCCTCTGAGGACTCTAACTTAGGATGTCTCACCAAACCAGAAGCCTTTAGGCTTCCTGGCCATGGAGCTTTGGGTTACTTGCCCATCAAAACTGAGACACAGGGTGTATTGTATAGCCATGCCTAGATTTCTGTGTGGGTGCTTGGAATCCAGATGCATGTCCTCATATTTCCAAACCAAGTCCTCTTACCTACTGAGCTATCTCCTCATCATTTCTACCACACTTTCTGCATTTCAAGGAATGTTTAAATTATATATATACATATGTGTGTGTAATTGTATTATATTAAATTATATATATAGTAGACATACACTGACTTATGTCATCCTATAACTATGTCCTGCACCAATGAAAAATTGTCCATGATAGAGCAGTGATAGTAGTTTGAATGTCACATGACTTTAAGAAAACGGTAAGCCTAGTATAACAAAAGACAAGAATATCTATGCAAAGAAATATTGGACTGTGATGAAGATAGACAATTCTATTCTCTGTCATTAGCCATGTAACTTTAGGCAAATAACTTCCTTACTCTAGTAACCTCAGTAGGATCGCCTGCAAATACAGCATCTAGTGACATAAATCATCATATATGCATATATGTATTCTCAATCATGAACACAACATAGTGATCATATGTCAACTGTTTGGTGGTACATGGTTGCATAGCTACATAATCAGTGTCCAACCAGACCATAGCTCCAATGGACACTCATTGAATCTCACATGAAGGAACTACTGCCTCAATCTATTACATTGCCAGTGTCTTATCCCACTATGCATTAAGAGTTAATTAGGGTTAATTCTCTTCCCCACCCTGACTGTTTCCCACCACTCTGCATGAATGACACAGGCCACATGTTATAACCAATTTTGCAGTCTCTGATGACATGCAGTTTCTACTTGGTGCAGTAATTGTTAACCACAGGTATATATTTAAATTAATTAAAAATATAGTGCTGCAGTCCCAACTGCCATGTTTCAAGTGCATTAATAGCCATCATGGTTCATGGTCACTGTGCTAGACAGTGAGGAAAGAGAACATCTTCATGTGCATAGCAAGTTTGCCACTGGTGGACAAGTCCCAAGAAATGCTCTTCCCCCAAGCAAGAACACAGAGCCATAGGACATGGAGTGGAACTTGGTCGTTTTATCCTGACATGCTACAGGAGCAACCTTTCCACAATCTGCTTGTCTTAGTTTGCATTCTGTTGCTGTGATTAAAAACAGCTCTGTAACCAAAAGCTATTCAGAGAAGAAAGGGTTGATTTTGGCTTAATGGTCGCAGTCACAGTCCATCATGAAGAGAAGTTATCAAGCTCAGGCCGGAGCCTGGAGTCAGAACCTGAAGCTGAGTCCCCAAAGGAATGCTGCTTACTGACTTGGTACCCATGAATAGCTCAGTTTTCTGATGTAGGAAGAGCATTGCCCACAGTGTACTGGACTCTTCCACATCAATCATTACATAAGAAAAATGTACCAAAATCTCCCCTATAGGTCAATATGATGGGGTCATATTTTCTCAATTGAGGGTCCCTCTTCCCAGATAACCCTAGAGTATGTCAAGTTGACTAAAAAATTAGCCAGCAAACTACTCAAGTTAAACTACAAGTTATAAACAGTTTTATAATTCTATAGTCAGGTGTGCAGATCACATGTATAACCACATGGGATATTGAGGCAGAAGACCCATGAATTCCAGACAGCCTGTGCAACTTAGAAATACCCTATTTCAAAATGAAACATTTTTAGAGACAAAGATGTAAGTCTGTATTAGGATGTTTGGCAAGTATATGAAGTTCTGGTACCTCAAATTTCTAGAATCTTAAAAAGAAGTGTCCTTATAACTCAAGGCAGGAGATAGACACACTATGGGGCTGCTTTTAGCCTCTAATAACTGAAGTACAAATTGTGCTTATCCATCAAATTGCTGGACTTCTTCCAATTGATTGTAGCATCTTACAGACTGTGGTATATAAAGGCTGTATGGCCTGGTGTTTCTCCTGGGTCTCCAAGGAAACTGTAAGTCAAGGGTGATTCTACAAATGGACCTGAGAAGGGCTTTCATCTCTAGTCACTGAAAGCCTTACTTCTACAGTAATTTAATATTTTTCAGAATACATATTTATCTAGCTGTTCCACTTGCCCTATCAATGTAATTCTGGTCACAACAAATTCAGAAGCAATTAAGTGTTTGCTGAGTCGAACCTGTGTGGGCTTTGTTTGTCACGAGTGTAATTATAATGATCTCTCAGTGAAACATAGGGGAGTGTTTACCTTGGAAATTTGATTTCTTGTTTCTGAAGTCAGGCTAACTTGATAAAGAACTTCTTTTTTCCTGGCCTTTTGGCTTAAAAACCCTTATGAATACTACTACAAATAAACACGCACTCCAGAACATTTATTTTGAGCCAAAAATGAATGTTAGATAATGCCTATCCTTGTGAAGAATTGCAGTAGAACAGAGAACACCTTGTCTGCCTGTAGTGTGAAGGTATAGCACTGTGTGCTGCTGATCCCTGGGGAATGTCACATCCAAATGAAACCCATATACTCCTAGAAACTCAATGGTATTAGAATCAGCTTGGAGGCAAGGAGGAGTTTTAGTTTAAGGAATATTCCAGTGAGTGTAAAAGCAGCCAGAAGGAATACCATCAAGAAAATAAATAACACATGCTGGCTCAAGTGGATGGAGGCAGAGGGAGCCCTGCTACATGCTGCTGGAAGAAATATAAGTTACTCTAGCCATTATGAAAATCAGTATGGAGGTTCGTCCAAAAATTAAAAATATACTGTTGGATCCAAGAGTAGCACTCATGAAGAAATCAAAGCCAGCGTAACACAAAGATACCTACATGGCCTTGTTCGGTGTAACACTGTTCACAATAACTAACTTAGAGAATCAGCCTAGATGTTAATCAGTGGCTGAATAGATGAAGTCAGTGTGGCACGTATACACAGAGGAGGGGTGTTCAGTCATAATGATCAGTGAAATGGCATTTACAAGAAAACAGATGGAACAAAAGGGTATCATCTTAGGGAAATAATGTAGACTCAGAAGAATCATGAATTCTCATACAGTTTCTGGATTTTATCAAATAAGACACAAAAGTAAAACAGGGCCTGTGTGAGAAGAGACCCGTGAAAGGAGGAGGGGAAGCAGGAGCAGGATACCAGGGTTGTTATGATTAAAGTACATGGTGTACATGTATAAAATGTACATGTATAAAATAACGATGCCCATTATTTTGTAGAAGGAATGTATACTAATAATAAAAAAATTAAAAAAAACCTCAGCAAGGGCCAACAAGATAGCTCAGCAGGTAAAGGTGCTTGCCACCAAGCCTGATGACCTGAGTCTAATGTCAGGAACTCATGGGGTGAAATGATAGAAATGATTCTTGCAAACTGACGGCTCACCTCTACACCTGAGTGCCCATACTGCACAAAATAAATAAATCTACATAGGCATACGTAACATAAGCAAGAAAGAACAGTTGTCTCTTGGTGACCAAATCCCTATTTTTTTCAGCAGCAAGTCTGGGGCTCTATCTGGCTATGGAAGTGTGTGCCTGTGTCAGAAGTGTGCATGGTTGTGTACACAAAGCCATATGCCTCAATGTGGTTCTTCCTTTTCTTTCCTGCTCTTACAGGAAGTGGTTTCTGATGAACGGCACCAAGGTGGCCAGCTCCTGGAAGAACCAAAGCTGCTACATTTCAAAGGGAATACCTTCAGTCTTCAGATATCTGTCCTTGACATCCCTCCATTCCTCTGGAGGATCAAACCTTTCACTGCATGCCAGGTATCTGCCAAAGGAGCTTCTCATAGAAACAGCTTTGCTGTGACCAGCAAACCTGGGAGGGGCCTTCCTGTATGGATTGCACCTCCGAACTGTGAGAGATCTAACAGTTTGAGTGGAACATACTGTCCTAAATTCACAGGTGTCTCGTAAGTGGGGTAAAAGTCCCTGCCTCTCAGGTTATGTGGCACTCCCTTCCTCTGTTTGAATTGTTCAGTATAGGTTTAAGATGGAAATCTAATCACTTAAAAGTACGGATTGTGTGTTGTTTTTATTAAAATCAATCAGTGTGAGACACTGTTTTAATCACAGTCAGCAGTGAAGAGGCAGAACGTCTCAGGGTGATGATTTTGAGTGATAGCTGTGGCTGTGAACAAAGATGTTACCCTTCATATGTGAACTGCTTGCTGCCAAATGTAATGAGTAAGATGAGAAGATACCCCTAGTCAGTAAGCAAAGGCAAGAGGAAGCCTCCCTGGAGTCCTTTTATAAATACATAAAGATATTTATATATTAGCATGCATAGGTCTCCTTATAAAGTTTTTTTTTTTTTCTCAGCTCAGGGTGATTCAGTTATGCTTACCATAAAAAGATATCTGAGAAATTTGTAATCTTGACATTGAAGTCTGAGAATTTCCTTTATTGCTATCATAAGCAGGCCCCCTTTTCTTCAAATGACAGGACATTTCCTTAACCCCAGAAGAGTTTCTGGTACCCCTGTTAATTTGCAATTGCAGGACATTTTTACATCTGGCAGCATAGATGCAAAGTCATATGAAGCTTTTTAACACTTCCATTCTTTTAGTTATTTATTATTTATTATTTATTAAACACACACACCCCTATACACACACTCATCACACACACACACACACACACACACACACACACACACACACACATATATACCCCTAAACACACACTCACCCTCACACACACACTCGTTACACTAACATATAGTTATTCAAAATGGGAACCAGCCAGATAGCAAAGCGAAAACACAGACATTCCATGATAGAAAAAGCTGGGCCACCAATGCTTCCCACTTGAAAAATGCAGAAATCTAAAACTGGATATAAGTCTCTATTTTCCCATTTAAGTCTCGTAAGTCTTGCTTTTTGGGAACCACTCCTCCCAAAACAGTTTTAGTGCATTCAAATATCCAAAATGACATGAACATCTCTCAGGGTTCCAATTATCCCCCCTTTGATTTGGCACAGTTGACAAATTTCTTGATAGAAGATTCTTGAATCAGTGTAGTGCTGGTGATATTCAAGACCCAAATGTCTTTGTTTTCCAGGAGGTAGTATTCAAAGTTTCTGTTCCAGATTGAGTTTGAGAGTATTGTTAAGACAAGTTTTGCTAACCATTTGAATGCCTATATATTAATCTTTATAGGTTCTTTGCACTGTGTCTGATACAAGTCAGTAAGTCCAAAGTTGCTATTGCATTTAGTGCTTAAATATTGAAAAAAAAATTAGATGGATGAAAGAGCCATTCCTTTCTAGACTCTTAAATAATGATTCCAGAACCAAAGACATAGAATGAATACATTGAGCCCAAGAGGATGGGGGGGGGGCATACCTGCAAACCTCCCAGAATGCAACAGCACTGACCAGAGCCAAAAGGCACTGGAATGCAAGGAATCTAACATGCTTCACTACTAGCATGGTTTGGAATCCATGGAGGTTGTGAGCATGTATAAATATTTCCCTTCTGTAGTTGAGCCTAGTTTGGGAAGGGTGTTGGAAGACTGAAAAGCAATTTCATTTTTTTCAACGGTGGGTGTGGAGGGGTCGGTCTTGCCACTGAGTTTTCATTTCCACTTCATTTTTCTAACCCAAAATTACTCTCCACTCTGGTCTTCCTTCCTTCCTACCACCCTTACCCACCAATCTTTGCCCATACCAGTGCTAAATCCCTCAGATCATATAAGTGAGCATTGCGATGGGCTTAATCACCACACTATAGTTGTTCCAGACATTAGATCAAAGCACTTTGGGGTGGATTTGTGGTCAAACTGATTGAGCCTATGTGGATCATTGTTTGTACTGACAAACTTGGTGGGGATAACAGAGGAAGAGTATTCAATGGGCCTTAGTGGTTAGGAAATAATGGGACCTCTCTCTCTCTCTCTCTCTCTCTCTCTGGTTATCTCTGAGAGATGTTACAGGAACAGAAAATCATGCTAGTCCTGATATGTGGTCTGATCTTTAATCACTAAATCTCCCTGTCATCTTCCAGCCCAAAGCATGGGAAACTGGAGATGCTATTACTATGTATTTGTCTCCTTCTAACTACAAACTGACAGTCTAGGAACTGATATATTGCAATTGGCACACATTCCAAGATAACATCCTGTCTTGTTCTGGGAGATGGCATTTCCAAGGAACTACAAGCCTAAAAGAGGGGTTCAAAAATTATCAGATAGCAACAGCTGCACGACAAGTTGTCCTGAAACAGTGTGAGTTAGGTCTGTGTCCTGAGCTCTGAGAAGATGAGGCCTGTTAGGTTTAGGGGGATCACTTTGATTTCCAATCAGGTACTGGAGTCCGATATCACACAGAATGTCATACAGCTTCTGTATGCAGGAAGGGAGGGTCCATCAGCCGCACCCAGTGACTTTGGTTTAAAGAAAAACCTCTACCCATAGTGCTAGCATTCCCAAATAACACACTGTTCCATGTTTTCTTCCCAAGATTCAAGACTACCATGATTAGTTACCCACTATGGCTGTCATCAGCCCTCTCCTTGCCCTACCTGGGAGGTAACTAAAGAGTCCCACTCTCAACAGGTCATGGGACCCCAAGCTTCTTCATTATAATTTCCCTTTATCTTTATTGACTCTGGCTTGGAAAGCTATGATAAGCTTTATGGCAGCAATTATTTATTTATTTAGAGCCAATAAAGCACAGTCAGGTTGTCATGTCCCTAGGATAAAGACAGCTGTCTTTGCAGCATGCTATGAATCTTCCAGAAGTCAGTGTCTATCTCCTGCTAGGATATGATTTACATTCTCTCCATCTGCTTGGAACCTAATTATAATGGGGGCCAGAATGAAAACATTTCCGGAATTCTTTCTCCGCACATAACTTTGCTAAACTTTGTCCTCAGCACTGTTTCTCTCAGCTCAGTGAGCATTGTTAGTGATTTGTTTTTGTTTTGTTTGGGGAAAAGGGTGGATTTTTCTTCCCGTCCCCCACTTCTTTTGGGGGGATAAATGGAAGCAGAAACAATTGCCCTGAGAAAATACACTAATCACAGTGCTTCCAGTTCTATTATTTTTAAATGTTCTGTTGAACACTATTGGCAGCTGCTATTCAACTCAACAATGAAAAACTATTCCTTCAGTACTGTCTTTTTTCCAAGCAGATTTAAAAGTGTTTTGATTATATGCAGTGGCATGGTGAGACAGGAGAAAAGACATTTTTATGCTGATTCTCTTGTATTTCTACAAGGAAAAACTATCTTTGCACAGGGTACTAATCTCCTATGTTCTAGTGTTTGGGGGAAAATACAGAAGACTTAGCAAGTGATATCAGAGGGTACTTTCAAAGAAGTGGTCAGTATCATTGTTTAAGAAAATGTAAGTATGACCAAGGATCCCAACCCATAGCAGAAAATGTAGATTTTCCTTGAGAGATGGATTTTGAACTGGGCTCGTCTAACCCTGAAAGCCAAGTACTTACATTATGCTGTAATGACTAAAATTTAAGTTGTTCTAGCAAACAAAGCCCACTTGTTAACCTCACAGCCCTGTGCTGTAGTTGGTTTTTCTGAAGGAGACATACAAAGTAACTTTACAAAATCAACTGGTATAAAAGGAGATTTCATCTGAGAGATTATTAGAATGAGAATGTAGAGAGTGGGTGCAGGCCATGAAATGATTGAGACCTGGGAAGGCCAAGCTGGATTTATAATGTGAGGCATTGGGGTCTGCTGTGAACCATCAAGCAAAGGGATCATGGGATAAAGGCCAAGCCCCTGGGTAATGATCACATCAGTGTCTCTCATGACTAGAAGTGAGAGACCGTGATGCTGTTGCCTTGATGGATGCCAATCAACTGACTTCCATTTGACTCTCCTGTGAGGCTCCACACCCTGCCAAGCTTGTCTAGTAGAGACTAGAGGCAGAAGAGTATGAAACACTACTTCATTCAGCTCCAGTGAGGTGTAATGGGCTTAGGAAAGTTGGCTAAATGACCATGGAAGAGAGATGGTAAAATGCCTGAGAAATAAATGCCAAGTAGCATTTGTAGAGTGCCTTAGGACTACAGTGCCAGGGACTGATGATGAGATAAATGCCAGAGATGTAGTTATTAGAGCCTTGCAAAGGGAGATGACAGTTGGCCATGTGCAAGCAGATGAGATTGAGTTCAGTGGGCAGAGGGAGATGTGTAGGAGGCTGAAGTATGACTTAGGAGTAACCCATGGGTTGCACAATGGGAGAAGGCTTAGAAGGAGGAATTGTGAAATGCTATAAATCATGGCCATACTTGAGGCCTCCTCTGATCCCTCAGTACATCTTCTGAGGAAAGTCCACTGACTTCTTTGGCTGAGGATTAAGAACAAATACAAGAAAACAAAAGCCCTACACAGTTGTTATATTCTTGCTAAGATGGATGGTAATTGTGAATGCTTCATTTTGTTTTCTCTTCTCCAAAGTTTGCTATATCCTCTTTAAGGATAGAACAATCTAAAAATCTAAAATCCATCTATCCTTGATGCTTACTCCAGAAAGTATTTGTTGTTAAAATCCCTCCCCAAAGGGAGCCATAAGCAGCAGCTTCTCCCATTCCTAAATTTCCAATGACAAATAGAGGCACCATTCCACCAAAGTTCATACTTTGGAACCAGTGAGTATTTAATGGGTTCCCTTATAGAACATAGGAGAGATGCTTCTTACAGGGTTTGGGGTGCTCCATACCCCAACAAGTTGTACCTAGAAGGCCCTCACCCAGTAGTCATGAGGGCTTTCCCATAGGTACATTGATGGAGCCTTCCTCCTCTAGTCTCCCTTGGTCTATATATATACTTGCTCCTTCCTGAGGCCACATGCAATTAAGGCAGATCTGTATACAGCTATGGAAGAAAACAGTTGGATACTTAGGTGAGGGTCTCATGACCCTTCCTATCCCACTATGAGGGCATGAAAACAGTCAGCAAACCCAGCTGGGATGAACCTTTCGCAGAGCTGAACATCCCATGAAGGCAGCTGATTGGCTTAGAGAACACTCACAACACCATCCAAAATATAGATCTATATCTATATAGCTTTTAGAGAAAGTTAGGAAGCAAATTATAAGTGTGAACACTGAAGCTCAGGAATAAACAGTTCCCCAAAGTGAATAATTATAATTGTGGCATTGGTCTTATAACACACTACAGACCTATCACCAGCCACACTCTAGAGTTCCCAGCTTCCAGACTTGGTACATCTCTTGCCACCTTTCAGCTTCAGCTTTGCAGAAAATTGTATTTTTAGCAATAAAGGAGCAAATTAATGAGGTGATAAAAAGAAGAAATAAAAGTTATGATGAGGGTTATTAGAAGCTGGGCACCCATGGTCATTGCCAAGTCCCCAACCAAATTTTACTAAGAAGGAGATACTTTTCAACACATTAAAAACAAAACAAAAACAAAAGTAAGAACAAACAGTAAAAATTGCTTTTGTCATCATGCTCCAGCTAGTATTGGGGAAAAGGAATAATTTCCGTTCTTGTTTAGTAAAACCTACATTTGCCATGGAGTTATATCAGTCACTGAGGATGGGACAAAACCTAAACTGTTATTATTTCTCATTCATATTGTACTGTGTGGTCACTTACCTAATACATGACCAATCATAGGTGATTAGAGAACTCTGTCACTCTGGGTGCCGAGCATGTTTGTGTCCTTCTCTGGGTTGTGTGCAGTTCTATCAGATACATTGGCAGTATTTATCCCTACACAGGTCTACATGAGTCTGTGGTATGGGCAACAAGTTCTGGTCAGTCAGTTTCCCAGTAAAATTCGTACTTAAATGAGAAAATAGCATTTTATTCCCAGCTTATATAGAGAGATGGACTAGAGGAGCCTTCTAAGGATGATCAATTTTAGTGGGGAAAAGGTTAAATTTTAATGGTATCCATTCATGTGTGTGTGTGTGTGTGTGTGTGAGAGAGAGAGAGAGAGAGAGAGAGAGAGAGAGAGAGAGAGAGAGAGAGAGAGAATTAGTGAAGTCTAAGCTCTTAGAAAGAGAGAGAGAGAATGAGTGAAGTCTAAGCTCTTGCAGCATGGCTTAGGAATTCAAATGTTATCAATTGGAATTGACATTAATTACTTCTGTGCTCCCTGGCATATGCTGAAATATTATTTCTGTAATTCCACCAAAGTCACTTAGGCAATTATCTTTGCTACGATCATCATCATCATCATAATTGTTGTGATTAAGTCACTGCTGGTCTGGTTCCTTGAAGCAGGGCTCTGCTCTTCACTCCCTGTCCTCTCCTCCTCCCGACTGCAGGAAGTCCCCTTTTCCCGAGTGTGGAGCAGCAACCGGCAGCCCTTGCACTGTGCCTTCTCCCTGGAGCGCTACACGCCCACCACCACCCAGCTGTCCTGCAAAATCTGCATCCGGCAGCTCAAAGGCCATGAACAGATCCTCCAAGTGCAGACATCCATCCTAGAGGTAAGTCCGGGATTCTGGTCCTTTGAGTCCCTTCCTAAGGGACAGTAGGAATAAAGATCACATATATATCATGACTGTGCTATTCTTAGGAACTTCAACATGTAGGCTCTTGACTCTCATTATCAATGAGGAAAACCATGCTTTCTTGGGCTCAGAATTGAACCAAGCTTCCCAATGGACAGGGAAACTAACCTCTCTGAGAGCCTAATCAAGGCTCTGTAGAGGGACTTCTGGTGAAGGAGCAGGTACATGGATTCTTTTACAAAAAGCAAGCAGTTTCCTAATTTACAGCAGGACTGGGATACCCACTGGCATGTGTCAGGGATGGATCAACACGGCAGTGGAGACTGGTGGCTACTGGGTTATTATTCAACTGGTTCTTCATAATGCTTTAGAAGACAGTTGCATTGTGGACTTTATCTTTGGTGCCCCTCCCCACCAAGTCCCTTTCCCACATCCATATCTGTTTGTTTGTTTGTTTTGTGGCCCACTGATTTTTAACATATGTGTTTGTCCGCAAATAAATATTAATGATCTATTCATCGATTTATTCTTGTCTGAAGTTTTAACACATCTACATGCATACAACTCAATTTAAGTTTTCTTCCTTTGAATGTGTATAACTGTAATGCATCATCACTTCTTTGCATTTTCATTTCAACTCATTGTTTATGCAAAGTGAGTATTGCTAATTCCCCAAATAGTTTTCCTGAGGACTGGATAGCTTTCCCAAGGATCATGTCTTACAATTGATAGCTGTCTTAACTGACATGTATGTGTGCTATTTGCATTCATTATTGCCAATTAGCATTTAGTGCTAAAGCAGCTTTGATGGGGAAAGTACATCCAGAAATCTGGGCAGGGTATTTTTAGAATCTTTTTCATGAACAGTCACAGCATAGTTAATGTAATATATTTCCAAATAAAATATGAACAAACGTTATGGGAAGCTTTTTTTTTTCTTAGACTGTAACCTCTTTTACTAATAGTTCATCCTGAAGTTAGATGATGTGTTTTATTTTTGTTTTTAGGTTTTTTTTAATTGATTAAATTTCCTGACAATTGCAAATGTATATAATGTGGTGGCTCTCAGCCTTCCTAATGCTGCAACCCTTTAATACAGTGCTTCATGTTGTGGTAACCCACAGGTTGAGATCACTGATGCAATACATTCTGGTTACTGTCAATTCTCATACTCTATTTCCCTTCCACTTCCTTCTGTCATCCCCTCCCCACCAAGTCTCTTCCCCATATCCATGTCTTTTTGTCTGTTCATTTTGGGGACCCACTGATTTGACCCCAGGACCCTCTGTTTGACCCCAGGTTTGTAGCTGTACATTAGAGTATGGTGGGTTGACTAGTGGGTACACAATTGAAAATGGTTACATCCCTCGCCCAGAACCCATCAGTAACCAATAGTTCAGCAAAAGGGCTCTATGAGTCCCTGCCCCATCCATGATTGGCAGTTGACAGGCCCAGTCTTATGCAGGCCCTGCACAGACGACTGCAACTGATGTGAAACATGTTTGCAATGGCTGTATCATTTCATAGCCCCTTCTTTCTGTTTTCCAGCCCTTATATTCTTTTAGTTCCCTCTGTGATATCCCTGTACCTTAGAGGGAGCAGAATAAAGGCCCCATTTAGGGATAAGCACTCATCTCTATCACTTTTCCTCACCATCTTGAGCAGTTGTGAGTCTACATCTACTACCATTTACTGCAAAGAGAAGCTTTCCTGATTAAGTAGCATTTGTGCATGGTTAGAAGCATAAACATTTAGAATGCAGTTTGTCACCATAGCAACTTGGCTAAACAACAGTAATAAGTTCTGCTCTGGGGCCTATGACCTCCCCATCCATGGATTTTTAAAATGAAAAACAAAAGAGAAAACCAAGTAACACCTACTTTTCAGTTGCACCCATCAAAAGGCAGAAGAAAGAGGCTTCAGATCTGGGTTGCCAGACATGTATGTTAACAGGTCAACCAAAGGATTCTAGGTTTGAAGATCTTGTTTTTATAAGACACCTGAATGCTGGAGATCAACTTCTGCTATTAAAAAAATTTACAGAAGGACAAAAATCAGAGGATTGGTACACCCTATTACATTTTGTTATTGCTTAACTAAATTCATGAAGTACATCAAAGGAAAATTAGCCAAGAAACCCAATCCTTCCTACCTTTTATTGTTGATCTCTTTTCTAATGATTCAAAGTTTACAGTGACATTGAGCCATCAAGAAGACAAACATCACAGTGTCTCTGGATACTGCGAAACAAGTATCAAAAGAGTATCAGAAATGTTGACTGATAATCATTGGTTCACATCCTTCAGCCTTTGGATGCTTTACTGCTCTTTCTATTCTGTCAAGGATTGGTTTATTAATTGCTTAAAGTATTACTGCAGGAATTTGACCCAGTCCCAGAGCATCTTAGGCAAGTCTAATTTATTAGCATTTTCTGTGTTAGAAGACGACTAATAACTTTTGAAAGCCCCTATATTTCAGGCTCTGTTTCATTTGGTTCCCATCTGTCACATAACCATCACTGCTCTGTGGATTAACTATTACTGCAGTCATAATTGTACATGATATAAAATCTCAAAGAAGTTACCCTTCCTGTCTAAGGATATTGAGCTAATGAGATGTGAAACCACAGTGCAAACTGAGAGACCTGACTTCAGGCTCAAAGTCTCTACTTACATGTTACATTATTTCAGGACCCCCAATCAGCCTCATCATGAACCATAATGCCAGTCTTCCACTTGGGATCTCAGACAGTGGTGGCAAATATCCAACACCAGTAATTTTGTTCTTAAATACATCAATGGAGTCATGTAACAATTGAGAAATTCTTTTGTCAAAAAAGGAAGCAGGACTATGGAGATATTTTTGGTCCTTAAAGAGCTTACTATATAAGCACGATGCCCTGAGATCACTCCCCAGAATCCATATAACCCACAAAAAAGTATGATGCTGTGCTCTTCTGATCCCAGCTCTGGGGAGGCAGAGACATACAGATTTATGGAACTTACTACCCACCCTACCTTAGTAGGTAAGCTCTAAGTCCAATGAGAGATCCTGTTTCAATAAAACATGAGGCAGATAATTCCTGAGAAAAAACAATGCTCAAGGTTGTCCTCTGACCTCAACACACAGACACACCCACAAAAATAGGAACACCTGTGCATAATGCTAACACACAAAGAAGAAAACATAGAATGTCAATATGTTTGGGTAATGGAGTAAGTCAGTGCTCATTCTATAGATTGTCAAGAAAAGAATGTGTATGTACATGTGGAACTTGTCTTCTCATAATGTCATCATTGAACTGTCTCTCAAACTCCTTCCAATGTCTTGGGGGAAGGACACATCTGGTGATTAAAAACACCTGTTGTCTTTTCCTAAAATGGAGTTGACTGTCATAGTAAATGATTGAAGCAAAGGGCTAAATATGGACAGTGATCAGAAACTGATTACTGGGGAAGAGGAAGGTGACATTCTAGACAGGAATGACTTTGGAACCATAGACCAGCTTTGAAGGTGCTTTACATTCCTGGTCAGCAGACTGGAAACACTGACTTTAGGGGCTTAGAAAGTTTAGTAAATTAGCCTCTGGGGCTTATTAAGTAAACCCAGTCACAATAATATGGAACTTTTGTAGCTTTTGATAGATGTCATTGATTTTTTTTTTTCTTAATCTTGATCCCCAAATCCCTATGCGTTTCAGCTCAGGATTTTCATTCTTTGTCTTCCTTGAGTGGGTTCTCTTAGTGTCACAATTTCCTGTATTTGACAGTAATCATGAGGAATGTAAGCATGTGTGTTCGTGGGTATGTATATGTGTTAAATGTCTAAGTGTAGTGACCATACTCATTGAAGACATCGATTCTATGCGCTCAGTGTTACATCTGCCATTTCCTTTCTTGTGTCTTCATCTAAATGATTTTCTAAATAAATACTATCTTTGCGATGATCCTTAAAATAAAAGGTTTTAGCCAAAATAATATACCTTTTTAAAAATCCATGTGGCCAGAATTGTGTCAGTCTTTAGTAGTATCCTCTTAGATGCAATCCTGTTAAATAACATAATGACTACTGCCAACTGATGCTGTCAAATCAACACTGTCATCCATCTAAAACCTGGGGCCTGGAACACTCCAAGGAACAGGAAAGAACCATCACATAATTTATCCCATCATTTTTTTCCTAATATAATATTATTGAAGACAGTTTTTGGTGGAAATGACTTAAATGAGAATCTTGCATGTTACAATTTTCCCTTTAAGCAATTCTCTTATCTTTCCTTCAAAAGTAGTGGAAGTTGGGGGATAATTTGTCTGCTATAAAATAGAGTACTTGGAATCTCTCAGTGATTTACAACTCCCTATGCTAGCCAGGTAGCAGCCGCTTATCTCAGATGTACAGAGCATGAAAATCTACTGTTCCTCTGCATATTTAATTTAAACACTCAGAGAATGTGATGTACCTATAGCATTCTTATTACTTGGTTCAGATGTGCTTTAGAATGCATCATAAATGTTACATAAAGTGCCACCCTGGTAGAGGAGAAATATTTCAGTTTGGAAATTTTAAGAGTGAAATGGATCCACTTATTAAAGTGTAGTAAATTTTCAATGCTTAATTTTAGATTCAACCTCATGTATTTTATTCATCTTAAAAAAAAAAAAAACACACCACTTTCTGCTGCTTTGTTTTCTGTTTCTCCTGCTGAGAGATTTTTGAGGGTTAAACTCTCCTAACTAGTCTCAATATAGTCTGAGATCAGGTCTGATTGTTTGGGTTTTGAAGACGGAGTTCCCCTCTGTTAATAACTTTCAGTGCCGTTTCACATAGAAGACTCCCATGTTAACTTGAGTAAAATTATTTTTTCCCCTTCCTCTTCTGGCTCCTCTCCCTTCTCTCTTCCTTTCTGCTGTGGTCTTCAAGTCAGAAAAAAATATGTAAGGAAGCTATTTCCACTTGATTTGCATTTTTAGAGGCTAAAAGAAATTTTACAAACCATGATAAAAAATAATGTCTGCTTGTAACCTATTTTATACAGTAAGAAACTGAGTTGGTTTATTTTATAACCATCCAATATATCAGAACAGAATTGTCCACTCTGCCTGGAATAAGTACCTATCTGCCCAAACTCTATTCAGTCTATGCCTACCAATCCCTCAAGGCCAACTCACACACCTCTTCCATGAAGACTCTCCTTCATATAAATTTCCAAGACATAGTGTTACTATCACCCGCACAGGAGTTATCATAACCCCTCTGCCCTGTGCATTTCATAGTTGTTTTGAAACACTAAAATGGGGGCTGGTGTACTTACTGGGACATCCAGCTTGTAGTTTCAGATGTGTCACAAATTACATGGGTTGCTTTTACAGGCTTTCACACTGTCTGGAGAGACATGGCAGGAGGTCTCATTAGGGAGCTGACATGGAAGATTATATAGCATCCAGAGTTACAAGCCAGGGAGAATAGAGTCCTACTGCAGAGCCATCTAAAAATTCCTGATTTAAAAACTGCTTTTGTTATTAGACCATACCAAACACCAACACCGAAAGAGTCTGTTTTAGATTGTTCCCTAATATAGTATGTAACAAAACTGAAACCAGTTGGTAGAACATAAATGAACTTAAATGATAGCAGGAATGTGAGACCCAATACCTGTGTTTGACCAGGAAGCTGTTCTCTCTTCGAACATCTAAGATATGCTTTGGGGCATCCTGGGTTTTCAACACCCAAGCCATGTCACCGTGTCCAACAATAATGGAAAAAGTAAAAAAGCATTGCCAAACATTAATAAAACCTCTCCAACAACTAGTCTCTCTAGCTGACAGATTTTGGAGAGAACTTACCATACCTGAATTCTTATAGTTGCTCAAGCCAGACACTCTCTGAAGAGGGTCACAATGGCTGTGGTGCCCACAGTAGAAAGACATAAGAAGGTCACACATCACTGGGTGGCTGTGGCGTATGCCTTTAATCCCAGCCCTTGGGAGGCAGAGCCGGGCAGATCTCTGTGAGTTCAAGGCCAGCCTGGTCTACAGAGCGAGATCCAGGACAGGCACCAAAAACTACACAGAGAAACTGTGTCTCAAAAAACCAAAAAAAAAAAAAAAGAAGAAGGTCACAAGTCATGGAGAAATCAGCCCAGAACTTAGAGTGTTAACAAGCCATGTACTGACACAAAGAGGGATGCCATTTACCGTGCAAATACCAGCTGAATGGGCTTTAAAACCTCCTAACCACTCCCTCAACCCTCCCTGATTTACTTTTCTCTGTCAACACAACACATTACCACCAATCTATTGGCATAAAGACATCCTATTATTATTAAGTTAAAAGTTCAAACATGGCATAGCTGTGCTCTCCGGTCTGGGTCTCACTAAAACGGAATCAAGAATATTAGCTAGGGAAATGTTCTTAATGCAGCTCAGAGTCCAAGCTTTGCTCAAGTTGTTGCTACAACTCAGTTCCTTATCCTGGTTATTCTTAGCTCCTAGCTACAACTCTCCCACACAGGCAATTCAGAACATGGCGTTGTCCATCTTCCAGAGCAGTAGGAGATGCCTCTAAATCTGGGGGTGCATCTCAGTGGTGCCTTTTTGTTTTGTTTTGTTTGTTTGTTTGTTTTGCCTATTTGCACAAGGCCCTGAGTTCAATACCCAGTACATTCAAAAGAGTTGGGGGCAAGGGAAGGAAGGAGGAAGGGAAGTGAGAGAAAAAATACATTTCAGAAGACTTCTCTCCTTTTGAAGGCTACCTAGTTAGGTTAGACCCACAGGGAAAAGGAAAATAATTCACTCAAAGCCATCTGATTAGGTACTTTAATTATGTCAGCAGTATCTCTTTTATTTTATGGCATATAATAATCATGGGCTCCATTCCACCAGATATTTGGGAATTCTTAAAGTTCTATTAGTCCACACGAGCCTATCAGCCACTGCTGCCACCAGACAGATACCCTTATGACTTTATTTTTGAACGTGGTGACCTAACAGTTGTGACGCACTGATGTAGCAAATCCTGACTGGACAGTTGGACATTAGAAGCAGATGGACAGACAGCACACGTAGAACCTTTCCAGCCAACACACTGCACACAGCTCACCGAAGTGTTATCTCTGGCAGCATCTATCTCACTGAGGGGACTTAAATCAAAACCAAGATTTATCGCAGTGCCACCCAGCTTTAGGACTAGGGAATAGAAGACACTTTTGTAGCATTAACATACAGTCTCCCCTTACAGCTTCCCAGTCTGCTGCTTTGATCAGCCCATTCATCTTTGGTCTCAATGACTATCAGAGGGTCATTCCTCATACTGAACCCAAATCTGTCAGCAGGTTGCTTCTTCATAGTAATTCTCATCTATCTTTGAGAACCTTAAAAACTAAAATAAAATAAAAACACCTAATTCTGCCTTTACCAGGCAAGGCGGAATACTAGGCTCTGGTGACCTATGATATCCCTGTGGAAGAGGCTACTGTTAATCTTTAGGACATGACTGATGGACCACTAAAGAAGGTCCTTGCTATTTCAGAAGCTAAGGATCCTGTCAGTGTGTTTTATGTATGCATTTTGAGTATGTGTGTTAACACAGTTTTTTTTTTTTTCACAAATAAACTATCGGTGGTGTTTTTCCTTTGGATCTGATCATGCATCACTTATCTTGTTTACAGAGTGAACGAGAAACCATCACTTTCTTCGCACAAGAGGACAGTACTTTCCCTGCACAGACTGGCCCCAAAGCCTTCAAAATTCCCTATTCCATCAGACAGAGGATCTGTGCTACATTTGATACCCCCAATGCCAAAGGCAAGGACTGGCAGATGTTAGCACAGAAAAACAGCATCAATAGGTAATTGGGGGCAACTTTTGAAAATGTTTTTGACGTAGCAAACCCTGAAAAATAAAGTGAGCTGGGGCAACCATGTGGGATGGGTATCTCGGTGGATTTCTCTAGCCCATGTTTGTATGGAGCCCAGCTATGGTATCAATGTTCTGTCTACTGCCATCTCACTCTGCCTCAGGGCACGTTACCAAAAAGCCCTATGTTGGTTCTGGCCCTGTGTCCAGGTTTGCTGTTGGGGTGATTCAAACAGAAGCCTAGACTGCGTCCTCCTGAGGAATGATTAGAACATGGCTTACAATGGTACCTAAACACAGGGCAACAAATATCTTGCGTGTCCCCTCCCCATCAGAATTGGAGGCACTACTTAGCCCATAATGGGGAAACACTCGGTCTGAAAAAAAAAAAAATGGGTGTCTGAATACAATTTAGAGGGCATTTCAGGACAAGTTTTAGATCTCCCACTAAGTGGACAGAAAGTTATCTCCACACCACCACCCGAACAGCCGTGCTGCAGAAAGTGACAGTGTTCATTACCTCACGGGTTAGTAGCTGTCCTGCCCTAGAGCCGACAAGAACAGAGAAATCCCTAATAAGCTCCATTACCTCAGAGGAGCAGAGGCATTGGTGGCTGAGCTTCCCAGAGCAACCCCCGCGGGTGGTAGAAGGCAGGATGTGCTGGGTTTGGAATGACTCCTGGGGATAAGGCCTTGGCAAATCAAAATTCTCCTCTCCATAACCCCCTGCACACCCCCAAAATAAGCTGGTAAGAGTGAGTTCCACCAGAGTCGTTTTTATTTTCCTTGCCTTCGCTACTACTGCTTTGTTTTGCTTTTCAGAAAAAAAAAAAAAAGCCTTATTTTCTTTCTGCTTGCTTGCTCTTCCTTCTCACTTTTTCTCCTTATTTTCACAGACACCATGCCTGACTCTTTTTTAATCTGAAAGGGAGGGCATGTGTCTGCCAAGAAAAGATGGAATACTGCTTGCTCCCTGACTCAGAATGGATCCAGCATCCACAAATGAAGGATCCAACCAGAAATCAGGAGGAGGCACTGTTCCCAGAGAAAAATGAATTTACAGAGAATAGGCAGGCCCCCAAAGAATAGATACCTTTTTGAAAAGGCAAAGGCTTATACTGAAAAGGGAAACATGAAAAAATATGAATATGCAGGAAAAACAATAACTTAGAGAGGTTTCAAACTTAGCAAGTTTGAAAGAGGAGAGATTTCTTGGTTGTGATTCATGAACACAACTGTGTCGAGGTCATTTCTTATCAACATGGACACAGAAGGAAAAGTGGACCCAGAAAATGAATTTTGTTGAAGGATGCGGGGCGGGGGATAAAGAGGGGAGGAGAGGAACTGAGATGGGAGGGGAAGGGGAAGCAAGGGAAGGAGAGAGAAGAGAGAGGAGGGGAGGGAAGGGGGGATGAGGGAAGAAGAGAGAAGAGAGGGGAG